TAATAGGGAATGTCGTTCCTACCTTGCAAGATGTAAAGTCTTGGCTAGAAACGCAGTTTTCTATGAAGGACCTAGGAGAAACGGCCTATATTTTAGGCATAAAGATCTATAGAGATAGATCGAGACGGTTTCTAGGATTGAGTCAGAATACCTACATGGATAAGGTCTTAAAACGGCTCAAGATGCAAGATTCCAAGAAAGGAACCTTACCGATGAGCAGTGGCACAGTTCTCTGAAAGAGTCAGTATCCTACGACACCTGATGAGTGAGAACGCATGGATCGGATTCCATATGCTTCGGCAATTGGATCCATCATGTATGCTATGCTTTGTACTCGACCGGATGTATCCTATGCGTTGAGCATTACGAGTAGATACCAGTCAGATCCAGGTGAGTCACACTGGATCGCCGTCAATAACATCTTGAAGTACTTGAGAAGGACTAAGGATGTGTTCTTGTATACAGTGGGTCGGAAGACGAGCTCGCTGTAAGGGGTTACACCGATGCTAGTTTGCAGTCAGACTCGGATGATTACAGATCGCAGTCTAGCTATGTTTTCTGCTTGAATAGAGGCGCTGTAAGCTGAAGAGTTTTAAGCAAGCGACCATTGCAGATTCTACTACAGAAGCTGAGTATATTGCAGCGTCGGATGCAGCAAAGGAAGCTGTTTGGATCAGAAAGTTTGTTGGCGACTTGGGTGTCATTCCTAGTGCTGATAGCCCCATTGCTCTGTATTGTAACAACAATGGTGCAATCGCACAAGCGAAAGAACCTAGGTCCCATCAATGATCCAAACACATACTCAGACGATTTCACCTCATCAGAGAGATCATAGACAGAGGAGACGTGCACATATGCAGAGTGTCGACAGATGACAACATTACCAATCTGTTGAAGAAGCCTCTCCCTTCGTCGAAGCATGAGGGTCATGTTAGGGATATGTGCATTAGATGTTTAGCAGTCCATGAGTAGAGCAAGTGGGAAATTGTTGGTTTAGTGCTCTATGATGTGCTGTTTTATGAGCTTTATTATGATACATTCGATGTATTGACATTTACTATGGTTTTATGGTTGAGTGTTTGATTCATTAATGTTATGCATACTTGAATGTATTATGAAGTCCATGTATTGTTATGAACAATACTAAACTCCCTAGTCATATATCATTGTGGGAACAATGATGTACTAAGACTAGTATGATGTGCGATAGATGATCATAGAGATGATCATGGGTATTGGATACGATCACAAACATAGGTATTCGTTGGAGAACGAAATACTGGATTGACCCGCATGAGATTGTCACATGGACTTGCGTCATGACTTGAATCTCATGTGACGATTCCATGATTGGATCCTATGACCTGAGATATCTACGGAATCCAACATGAGGAGTTGCGTACTTTGAATACGTCAAACGTCCTGCGTAACAGGAGGACTATAAAGGCGTGTATCAGGTACGACATGAATCATGTGTTGGATTGTAGACAGTAAAGAAGGGATTTGTGTCTCTCATAAAAGAGAAAGATATCGTTGGACCCCTCGTGTAAGCGAGACTGTAGAAATGTGTGGCCACACTATAGATGAGCGTCGGCTATTTCGTACAGTCGAACTCAGTGAACGAGAAAGCAGTCGAATCAGATAAGGTGGCTTCTTCATGCCTTATGTTCGACATATGATATCGTGATACAAAAGGATCATCAACCGGAATCATCACCGACGTTCGTAAGATCACGAACAAACTCTATTCAAAATAGGTAGTCATAGTGTCTTGCTAGAGACCCTTATGACTTATATATCCGAAATGGAGATTTTGGGTTGTACTGCTATATCGGATGAATCAGGGTCACACACATAGGAAATGACAAACGCGCGAGAAAAGACGAAAAATTCCCCGTGGAGCAGAGGCCAGACTGACTGGTCCAGAGGCCTGTACCGATCGGTCTAACCAGCCCAGACCGATCGGTCCAGACACGTGGACCGATCGTTCCAGAGGTGACGAGCAAATGTTGTTCGGTCCGAAAAATGTTCTAGATCGATCGATCCAGAAATCTAGACCGATCGGTCCACACGGCTAAAAGCTCCAGACCGATCGGTCCAGGCGTCGGGATTTCCTTATCTCACTCTAATTAGGGTTTTAAGGTCTATTAACTTTGGGGAACGCCTCCTAAGGGTGAGTGCTCAACTTTCAGACCTTTTTTAGAGAGTTTTGAGATCGAAAAATCCAGAGTTAGATCCCTGAAACCTTTGCACAAAGAAGAAGGTATTCTTCGGTCCTAGCAGACGAGTTCCAACCGTTGGAATCCTTTCCGTCGTGTGGATACGTGTAGAGGGCGATGTAATCTTCCTGCCTTTGTGATTGGACGAATACATCGATTGATAGAGGCCCCAGATCGATTGAGGTAAGCGTTCTAACGTTTCTACAAAATCATACATGCTAGGTTTTATGGTTTTATAAATTTTTATTTGACATCCGCTGGCAAACTCTAGAACCGATCTCTTAGGAATTAGATTTGCTGTAGAGATCCCAGGAATCCCAACAATTGCAAGTTATGTAACGTTTAAAAAGAGAGTTTGAAATGAAAGACCTTGGAAAAACAAAATATTGTTTAGGTCTTCAAATTAAGCATCTAAAAGATGGAGTTTTCTTTCATCAATCTACGTATTTGGAAAAAGTATTTAAAAGATTTTATATGGATAAAGTTCATCCATTAAGTACTCTCATGGTAGTAATGTCAACAGATGTTAATAAAGATATGTCTAGACCTCATGATAAAAATGAAGAACTACTTGACCATGAGCTGCCATATCGTATTATTATTATTATTATTATTATTATTATTATTGTTTTTAAAAGGTGGATTATTATTATTATTATTATTATTATTATTATTATTATTATTATTATTATCTCATAGGAATAATACTTTATTTATCCCCCAACCTCCAGATATTATCGTCTGATTATTAATTTAGTGTCTAAATGACATGTTTATGCAAGGTATAATATGGTTAAAAAACAAAGAAACTCTTTTTACCAAAAAATAATAATAAGGGAAAATGACATTTTCCTGCACGGATTGTTTAAAATGTGACTTTTTTCCTACACGAACTTTTAATTTGATAAAAAACTATACCAAATTATCAAATGTGCCAAATTGATACACGAACTACCCAATTTAACTGCAATTTCCTACACAATTCGAAAACAGTGTTAAATATCCATTAACTGATGACGTGACATGCCACGTGGTGTCTGACATGACACGCCACATGGAAAATTTTGTCATGTCAGTATGCCACGTCAGATTTTTTAAAAAAAATCCGAAAAAATCTGAAAAAAAATCGAAAAAATTTAAAATATATATATATGCTCCTATATAAAAATATATATACTTATATTTAAAAAATATATACACTCCTACATATATATTCATATCTATATACAAATACAAATATAAATATATATATTCTTATATAAAAATATATCTATATATATACAAAATAAAACATATACACATATATATATACTAACATCTATACAAATATATATACATATACATACAAACAAATATATTTATATATATACACATACACATATATAAATACATATACACGTATATATGTATATATACATATGCATATATATATATACATACAAAATAAAAAATACATATATATACATATATATTCATATCCACATACAAATACAAATATAAACATAAATACTTCTATGTATATATATGTCTATATATATCAAATAAAAAATATACACATATATACATGCATTTATACCAATATACATACATACTTACAAGTATATTTATATATATACACATACATATATATAAATACATATACACATATATATGTATGTATATATATACATATGCATATATATACGTACATACATACATACAAAATAATATATATATATCCACATACAAATACAAATATAAATATAAATACTCCTATGTATATATATATACATAATAAAAAATATATAAGTATATATACATATATAGGAGTATGTATGTTTATATTTGTATTTGTATATAGATATGAATATATATGTATATATGTGTATTTTTTTACTTTTTATTTTTATTTTATTTTTTTAAGTTTTTTTGTTTTGTTTTTTAATCTGTTTTTATTTTTATTTTTTTTGTAATTTTTCAGTTTTTTTGTATTTTTTTAAATCTGACGTGGCATGCTGACATGACAAAATTTTCCATGTGGCGTGCCAGGTCAGACGCCACGTGGCGTGCCACGTCATCGGTTAACGGACGTTTAACACCGTTTTTGGATTGTGTAGGAAATTGCAGTTAAATTGGATAGTTCGTGTATCAATTTGGCACATTTGATAATTTGGTGTAGTTTTTTGTCAAATTAAAAGTTCGGGTAGGAAAAAGTCACATTTTAAACAATCGGTGTAGGAAAATGTCATTTTCCCTAATAATAAAGGACATTTTTGTATTTGTCTACTTCAAACGTGCGACAAGGAGCCGCCAAACACTGACAGTCTGTCTCTTCTTCCTCTTCCTCTCGACACCAACAGAGAAGGTGTTCTCTTCTGCTCCCTTCTTCTTCGTCCTCGCTACTCCCCTTAGATCAGAGAAAAAACAATGGAGGTACTGCTTCCTTCTTCGTCTTCATCTCTTCTTCCTCCCTCCGTCGTTTCTGCTTTTACATACATGGAATTCTGCTTGCTGCTGGTTTGGTCGGTCTTTTGATTTCCATGACGTTTTATCTGAGTTTTTTTTGTTCCTTTTGTGCTTGTTGTTGCCGAGTTGGTCTTTTTTGGTATTGTTCGTGTCCGTGCTTGGTAGCATTTACATGGCTACGTTAGGGGTGGGCATTTTTACCCGAGACCCGCGGGTTTCCGGGTACCCTGTCTCGCGAGTACCCGGCTTATATGGTTTTATGAGATAACGAGATACAGGCCGGGTTTTGATCTCACGAAACCCGAGTTTCGGGTTTCGGGTTCGGGTTTTGATATGTCTGCACGGGTTATCTCACGGGTACTCGGGAAATATTAAAAATTACAAAACTATCCCTTATTTTTAATATATTTACAAAACTACCTAAAGCTAACCCTAACCCTAATTATCTCTTGTCTCTCTGGCACTCGTCTCTCTCACGCTCGTCGGGCCGCCTCTCTCGGTCTCTCTCACACTCTCATTGTCGTCGGTATCTCCGCCGTGCTCTCGGTCTCTGTTCGTCCGCCTCCTTCTCTCTCTCGGTAAGAGCTTCTCCCTGGCCTTGCGCTTCCGTCTTCTCCCTCGTTGCGAACCTCTCTCTCTCGGTAAGAGCTTCTCTCTCAGACAACTTACGCCTCTTTTTTTTTTACAAGTTTCAGCCCTCTCTCTCTAGTCTCTGATCGATCTATGCAGCCGTCTTCTCCCTCGTTGCGAACCTCTCTCTAGACGTGCTCTCGCTCTCTGCTTTACTCTGTCTCGATTCGGTCCCTGCCTTGCACTCCTCGGTTTAGTCTCTTGGTCTCTGCCCTGCTCTCCAATTCGAGGTAAATGTTCTTCCTCTCTGTTATTTAGCTTTCTGGTTTGCAAAATGGTAAGAGTTTCATTAATTTCCGGGTTGAAGGTTTCATGCCTTTTATGTCTCTGCAGCAGAAGCCTGGGTTGTAATTTTATGGGCTCTATAAAATTGAGATTTAGGGTTTTATGGGGTTGTATTAAAATACAAAATTTTCTTCCTTTCGAATGAAGTTCTGGTGTTTGTTGAGTCATGTTTGGTTGATTGATTCACTTCAAGCGAGCTTAGCACTCTTGTAAGTAAGAATTTCAGGGCGTCATGTCCCAAAACCATTATAACATGAACCCATGATATAAACGAGAAGCGGTTGGATGATCTCTCTACCTTTGAAGAAGGTATATTTTTTATTACTTGATTGTTCGTATATGTTAGATTTTGCATACTTTAAAGTCTAAACTAAATGTTTAATTTTACAGATTTTCCATCAAAGTCTTCATTTGAGAAAGAAGCGGGTTATTTAACCGAATGATGAGGTGTTTCAATGTGTTTCAATATTTTTTGTTATTGATTTTTGATTCTAACGTGTTCTTGATTCTAACTTACATATGTATTTTTTGTGTTTGTGTAGGTATGTTCCTCGTATGTGTTTAAGAATTATGATGGATTTTGGATATGTTTTGGTTTTGGACGTTGTTAAACTGTGAATTTTATGTTTTTTTTTATGTTGTTGAACTTATGAATCATGATGTATTTTGGATTTTATTCAACTTATAATTATGACGTATTTTGGATATATTTAGATGTTGAATTGTACGTTATTGTTGTATTAATTTTTTAAATTTGTTCAGATTTTTTTTTTAATTTTACACGAGTTCGGGTTCGGGTCTCGCGGGTACCCGAACTCGTGTCTCGGGTACCCGAATCTCGGGTACCTGGGTTTCGCGAGATAGAGATCGAGATATTCCACTCAAAAACCCGACGAGACTGAGATCGAGATAAAGACACCCTAAAAAGTCCGGGTATCCGCCCGTGCCCACCCCTAGGCTACGTCGCCTGAAAATTCGGAAGATTAGTTCTATACCTTCTTCTTCTTCATTTTCTTCAGCTTTTATATACATGAAACGTATATGCTTCTGCTTGCTGCTGGTTTGGTCGGTCTTTTGATTTCCATGATGTTTTATCTGCGGTTTTTTTAGTCCTTTTGTGCTTCTTGTTGCCGAGTTGTGTCTTTTTATACGTTGTTCTCTGATTTCGTGTCGGTGCTTGGTAGCGTTTACTGTTAGAATTATTACTAAGATTAATGGTTTTAGTGGTTTTTCCACTAAAGTCTTAATAATTTCTCTACTAATACAAAGTGGTAATAATTTATCCGTTAATGGTCCATTAAATTCATAGTGGAAGTAATAAATCATTGATTTCTGACGGAGAAATCAGTATAAATAGATGTCTTAAAGTCCCTAAACTAACAAGCTTCTCTAGAAAAAATACACCATCATATGAATTTTGTAATAGTTTAGAAGTACCCAAAGACTATTGCAACAACAATCAATGGCGGGAGCCGGGAGGTATGAAATTTATGATTCAATTTTAATTTCCGCATACATAAGTTATATATGTATAAAGTTATGCATATATATTAAGTATTAAAGATAACAGTTGGTATCAGAACTGAATATACCTCTGCTTTGAATATCATTTATTGAAGAAATTTTATAAATTTTGATAATATAGATTAATATTGAGAAATCATAAATTTTTTTATAAAATCAATATGCAATAATATTTCTATAAAGAAACATGCATAAGAAAACGAATTTAAAGATTCTTAAAATTATCTTGTGATATAGAATGATGGAGATCTATGTTTCAACTGTTGTGTTTTTTAATAAAAAAAATTGAATTGAAGATCGATAAAATACCTTAGAGAATGGGATTAATCGATGTTCAGATCTCCATGATGATAATAAGCTTTCGAATGTATTTTAAAAAAACTCGGAGAGAAAAAGCTTTTGCATGTTGATTTTTATCATTCGATGGAACTAATATGAAGAAAGAGGCGGAGAAATAAAAGGAGAAAGGGTTTAAGTATTCTCTCTGAAAGAACCGATAAATATAAAAGAAAGTGATAGATTTACTATTATTTTATTGATAAATAGTTTAAAAGCCCAAGACCTATATATATATATATATATGCAGCGGCGGCCGAGAGAAATCATGCTTCCTCTTAGGGTTTCATTTCTATTTCTCATTATTTAAATTTAAAAAAAAAAAGAGGGAAGATGGGTTTTTACCCAAGACGTGAGTGGTGGTTGTGGATGTGCGACATACCACTGGACCACATTAATTTTAGTTGAGAGAAATTTTACTAATATCATTAATAATTTATAAAACGGTAATTGAAAGGGTAGTATCGTGATTCGAACTCAGGAACACGCATTCTTGTAATTTATTTAAACCACGGATGCCACAACATCTAAGTTTGGATAAAATTATACATTTAGTTAAAGTAATTATTTGTAAATATGATAAAATTATCCCACAGAAAATTTTGTTATATTTATGTAAATAATTAGGATAAACAATCAATTAAATTAATCCACATAAATTAAGTAATGTAATATAATTGATGAGTTTGTCATTAAGTCTAATAATTACTAAAAAAGAATCTATTTGAATTAAAAATTAAGCTCACAAACAGTTTTATGTCATAAGATTTATATTCTTAATGTTTTTATATTGGTAAAATATTATAAAGTTGCTTCAATTTTTGACATAAGTAAATATATTTGTTTAATATTTGCAGTTTTTCAACCTGTGAATGTTACTGATATGAAATGTGATATTTCTGAATTCAAGGGCGATAACTACAAAATTTAGAAATAAAGAATTATTCTTCATTTAGGGTGTATGAACATTGATTATGCTATTCATAAAGATGAACCAGCTCCGATTATTGAGGACAGTTCTGTTGAGAATGTTGAACTTTATGAAAAATTGGAGTGATCCAATCGCATCAGTGTCATGTTCATAAAGACAAACATCTCAGCTGGCATTCGGGGTTCTGTCGAACAGTATGATAATGTCCACGCGTTGCTGAAGGCTATTGATGAACAATTTGAATCTTCAGATAAGGCATTAGCAAGCACCATGATTATGAAATTTTCAACCTTAAGGCTCACCGGTGTTAAAGGAGTGCGTGAACATATCATGCAAATGAGAGAAATAGCGGCTCAACTCAAAATACTTGAAGTTACCATGTCTGACTTCTTTCTTGTGCATTACATATTGAACACTCTACCGCCTCAATATGGACCCTTCAAAATCTCCTACAATACACATAAAGATAAATGATCAATCAATGAACTGTTGACTATGTGTGTTCAAGAGGAAGGAAGGTTGCTTATGGAGGCGACAGAGAGTGTACATTTGACAACTTGAGGAAAAAGCAAATTCCAAGACAAAAAGAAAGGGAAGGAAAAGTTATCTCCTCAAGGGGATAACATCAAAAAAGAATCCAAGTATTTCTTCTATAAGAAGAAGATACACATAGAGAAGAATTGCCAAAGATTCCAAGACTGGCTTGTTAAGAAAGGTAACTCACTTACACTCGTTTGTTATGAATCTAATATGATCGATGTTGGTCACAACACATGGTGGATTGATTCTGGTTCTACAATCCATGTTACAAATTCTTTACAGGGTTTGCAAAACCTAAGGAAGCCAGTGGGAAGTGAGCAATGCATCTATTCAGGAAATAAGATGCGCTCACATGTGGAGGCTGTTGGAACATATTGTCTAGTTTTAAGTAGTGGTTATGTACTTATGTTGGAAAAGACCTTTTATGTTCCTGGTTTTTCTAAGAATTTAATTTCTGTTTCAAAACTTGTACCTTTTGGTTATTCCTTCAACTTTTCAAACTATGGTTTCGATCTTATCTATAAATCTGATATCGTTGGGAATGGTACATTGTCTGATGGTCTTTTTCGACTTAATGTGCAAAATGATAACGTTTATGCTACAATGCATGTTCATGCTAGTGTTAAAAGATATGTTGTGAATGAAGAATCCTATGTTGTGGCACAGAAGATTGGGACACATTTCCATTCATAGGGTTAAGAGATTAGTCAAAGATGGGGTACTTAATACTCTAGATTTTTCTGATTTCGAAACTTGTGTGGACTGCATAAAGGGAAAGCAGACCAACACATCAAAGAAAGGTGTAAAGAGGAGTTCACATCTATTAGGGATCAAGCATACATATGTTGTCTAGACATGGATGCATATCGCCAGAAATATTTCATCACTTTCATAGATGATTACTCACGATACATGTATCTCTATCTTCTTGATAACAAGAGTGAAGCACTAGGTGCTTTTAAACTCTATAAGGCAGAAGTGGAGAAGCAACGCGGTAAGCAAATAAAGATTGTGAGATCGAATAGAGGTGGTGAGTATTATGGTAGATGCATTGAGAATGGACAGGCACCTGGGCCTTTTGTAAAGTTTCTTGCTGAACATGGGATAGTTGCCCAATATACTACACTTGGTTCTCCGAGCCAGAATGGTGTAGCGGAAAGAAGAAACCGAACATTATTAGATACGATGCGGAGTATGTTATCATGCTCAAAACTTCCTAAGTCTTTGTGGACTGAATCTCTTAAAACAGCGGTGTACACATTGAACCGTGTTCCACCCAAGGCTGTTTTAAAGACACCGTTTGAGTTATTTAAAGGTTGGAGACCGAGTTGCGACATGTGCGCGTTTGGGGATGCCCGTCTGAAGTAAGAATTTTTAACTCACAAGAAAAGGAGTTAGATCCGAGGACCATTAGTGGCTATTTCATTGGATATACTAAAAGGTCTAAAGGATACAGATTTTACTGTCTATCTCATAGTACACGGATCGTAGAGTCAAGAAATGCAAAATTTCTTGAAAATGACTTGATTAGTGGGACTGACAGATCATTAGGTAAAAGATCTGAGAGTGATATCTCTATTTCACCTTCTACTTCAAGTCATGTCCGAACTGTTGTCATTCACAATGCTTGTCAAATTCCTGTGCATATTGAACAACCTGTTCTTGAACCTCCACAAGTTGATGATCCGATATATCTTATTCAACAAATACCAGACATTGTTGAACCAGTTGTAGAACATTATCCTCAAGAAAATGTTGGTACAACATTAAGAAAATCTACAAGAGTGAGAAAATCGGCAATTCTGGATGACTATATGGTGTATCTACAAGAGTGTGAGTACAATATTGGAGCCGAAAATGATCCTGAGACGTTTTCACAAGCCATGAATTGTAAAGAATCAGACTTATGGTATAATGCCATGAAAAATGAGATGGATTCGATGGCATCAAATGGAGTCTGAGATCTTGTCGAGTTGCCTACAGGCGTAAAAGCCATAGGATGTAAATGGGTCTTTAAAACCAAGAAAGACTCATTAGGCAACATCGAAAGACATAAAGCAAGACTCGTAGCCAAAGGATTCACTCAAAAGGAAGGAATCGATTACACAGAGACATTTTCTCCTGTATCAAAGAAAGATTCTTTTCGTGTGATCATGACATTAGTTGTCCATTTTGATATGGAGTTACATCAAATGGATGTGAAAATGACATTTCTCAACGGTGAACTAGAGGAAGAGGTTTACATGAAATAACCTGAAGGATTCTTCTCTAGTAATGGTGAGCATTTGGTCTGTAAACATAAGAGATTCATATATGGATTGAAACAAGCCTCT